CCCTTCAGGAGGAAGCCGCAGGGCGAGCATGTGCATTCTGTGGAGTGGATGAGTGGCCAGATCCTCCACACATTTGAATAGGAACCATATGAGGATAGTAGCCTTCAGCTCCGTATAGCTTCCCCCCCCGCCTCCAGCTGCACTGTGTTTTTCTTGGCCTGTGTCTGCAAACAGAGGAGCAGCTACTAATGTCCAAATGAAATGGAGCATGCTTCTCAGTCTTTCCTCCATGCACTCACTTCAAATGACAAAGAAACATATGTACAGTTCATTTTTTGGGCAGCAAGATTTGTAGCTCAATATTGTAGTATATGTATACCCTTCACACTCCGAATATAAACTAAGAAATTAAGACATGATATAGCATCAAGTTCTGTGTCTATGACCATCATATAATTGTTAGATTTGTTTAATTTAAAAACAACTCTGCACCTGTAATTGTTTAGGTAACTGAACCATTGATAATTATTCTAAAATTCCAGTGTTGTGGTTGTTTTTATTATGTGCATAAGAGGACAAAAAATCGAAAGACAGTGAGTCCGATTGGTGATAATAACATAACAATTCCAGTGAAGTATTTGAGAACAACATGTATCCTGTTTACTATCGGCTAAATCTTTCTTAAGCCTCAACAGTTTTGCCACTAACTAAAAAGTAGCAGGATGTTTTAGTATTTAGCTGTGCTGAGTAATAAGCTTTGTATTAGTCAATGGGCTCATTTATGTGTGAAATAAAAAAAAACCTTGTGTCATGAATCTTGTGACCGCCTTTATCTGACCACCTCCGGCTCTGTGTCCTGGGGTCTCACCTCCTGACTGCTCTTACACACAGTACCTGATGACTAGTTATGTTTTACAACTTTTTACAAATATTTAACACTGTACTGTTACAGTAGCCTACAGGTTCTGTTTAATGTATCAAAATGAAACAAAAGATCGTTTGTATTCAATGAATGTATTCAAGACAGTCAAGAGATTAGGAAGTTAACTGGCTGGCTAACTAAAAATGCTTACAATAATACAATAATAGTTATGCTGCTGTAGTGCTGTATCATTTTATTTATTTATTTATGTATTTATTTTTATATTTATATTTGTATTTATTTATTTATATTCATAGTTGTAATTATCATTACTACAACAACTACCATTAATACTAATTACTATTTCGCACCCTCGCTTAAAACACATCTAAATCATATTTTCTTATAGTGCAGTACTCTATACTGTTGGTATAGTTATATTCATCATTATATTGCTCACTCCCAGTCAAATGCAAAATTTCTTACTTTTTCATGCATAAGTAATTAAGATGAAACAAATTAAAAAATCATATTAGCTTATAGTGTAGTACTACTATACATTAATTCAAGTATAGTCATCAGTAATAGTCTAGTAGCAATTGTTTGCAATGATGAACATACTTGAATGAATATATACATGAATATATGATATATAGAGTACTACACTACACTACACAAATGTCTTACTCTTTTTCAAGAAGTATTACAGATGTAACAATTTATAAATCTTATTTGTTTATAGTGCAGTACTCTACACAGTTGAATACAGTTGTTGTATTACTTGCTCATGCTGCTGTTTCCATACCTTAGCTGGACATTGTGTGTAACTGTCTCAGGTCTGGTCCTGTGCCAGCCCAATAAAGGTGTTAGTCAGGCTGAGGACAGGCAGCATACTTTTCCTTACTGTAATCACATGGCCATCTGTCAGCGGCTCTGCACACTGCTTCCCCTCTGGCCGTACAGCGCACATGCACGCCCAAACGCCTGACCACATCACAACATGCACATTTTGTTCTCCTCACGCACTCCCATGTCCTTTGTGACTAAGAGCTCTCCCAGTCTTTATGTTGTGTTACAGGGACAGCAGACACATGCAGGAAACCATCTGACACAGGCTTTGAGATGTCAAATTTGTCAAAATCATCCAGTTGGATAAAGATCATGTTTGGAGTATGATTTATCCTCTGGAGTTGCACAATAGAGTTTTCTTCTCTTTGTGCCACTTCTAAACCTGGATAAAAGCCACAGAAAGGGCATCAGATAGAATGCAGAATTATTATGCAAATCACTGCACATGACTTGATGGTGAGGCCGGAAGGGAAAGGCCACATACAAAGAACAGATTATTAGATATGGCTCCTCACATTATCTTGTATCTTTATTCATTTTAACAAGATTTAGCATATCAATAGCAGATTATGCAGTTTAACAAAAGAGGACTAGTGCAAAGGCCCTTTCCTCTCATTCTTCTAGCTTCACCGAAGACCTCACACACAGTGGTGCGTGGAGGTAGTCGTGCCTGTTGAATAAGGTTAAAGATAGATTTATTAACTTTAATCATGAAAGTTATATCATTCATCCAAGAGTGGACCATCGAACAGTATTTTTTAAATTGTATTACATGGAAGCAATACAGTGTTTGCCACTGCCTGTATTCTGTAAGTGTTCAGTTCTGTAAAGTGGCTCACGTGGGCTGTCAAGAGGAGGTGGCTGTTCACATTCATACACATATTTTGTGTTCAAACATGTGAAGCCAGATCCGGTGTGTGGGGTGACTAGCACAACCCCAGTCTGACACAGCAGCCAGCACAGGAAGGATATCATCACCTTTGCTTGGGATTGCAATGATTCATGTTTTATTCACACTTTGACACCACTGAGGTTGTAGTCATCATAACCCAAGTTTTGAGTAGAAACATTTCATTCTAGCATATCGGCAGGCCGGCCTTGAAAAACACTGTTGCTTGTCGCTGTATGTGGTTGTATGTAGATGTTTTTGCCTCTTGACAGATGACCCTTGACTAAGTTGTGTACAGGAGTCAAATGATACACACATTTTTCTCAGCGCCCTGTATCTCCCTCTGTTTCCAGGACTGTGTATTTCTTGGCAGTCACGTGATCCAGGTGTCTTCTGTGTCCCATGCCCAGACTCTGCGCCAGCTCTTTTGCCCTACATTACAGCTGTATTGTTTCATGAAGCCCATTGTACTTGACCCTCCTTTACATGGAAACAGCTGGTGGGCCGGACTGTGCCACTGCTCTGGGCATCAAGGCTGAACCCAGGTCTCACAGTTAAATCACAGCTCCGGACAGAAACTTTCCTGGTTTCTCATGTTATTATCCTGTGCAGGAGATGAGGCTCCCTGAGGATTCTACTGTATAAAAGTGTCAGGGAAGGGGAAGAGTGGACCAAATGGAAACATACAGGTGGTTTTAACTTCCTGGTGGAGGAGTGATGTGACATTTCCTCTAGATATTCAAAGACGCCTCTTGATAAGGACCAGGTTGCATGTATGCCATATTTCAGCGTGTTCTGTCTGCTGGAGAGTTTGCAGCAGGCTATGAGCTGCCTTCAGCACAGGAAGTGACTCAGTTTTGACTGGCGCTGAACTTCCTGTGCGCTGACTCTCCTCTACTCGTCTCAGGATGTTTACCTCCTCCTTCTCCTTGTCTCCCTGACCCACCCTTCTTCCTTCATCATGTGACTGTAATGGCGATTTGCTCAGCTGTACTCCTTGTGTCTGCTACAGTTGGACCTGATATTTGGAATGACATTGTTGAGTCTGCAACTTTGTAGTGAATCATTGTCTTCATTTTATCACTGTTTCTATTCACAATATACATTGTTATTATTATACATTTACATATATTGTAAGTCATAAGAACATCTGTAGAATAAATATACTTACACAAAAACTATTACACTTTGACTTTGACAAACTTTAGGACAAATTACTTGGTTGGACACAGTAGCTCACTAGGGATGTAACAATAACCAAAATATTGTGATATCATATCGTCAAAGTTCTCACAATAATATCGTGGACCAACACAATATATCGAATTATATGTCTCTTTGCTTAAATTAAGAGTTATGGTGCAGCAATAGCTAAAAAAAAGACAGAGGGAACTACATAGACCATGATCCTTTGCTCCATTTCAGTGTAGACTACATGAAGAAATAACAGTTCTAAGCACTTTTAAATCTTAGTTCTTTGGATTAAGTCTTGTCAAGGCATTTTAAAAGGAAAAAGTTGCATATTAACAGTTTTGTTTGTAAGCCTCCACAAAATATTGCAATAAATATACTGTGAGATGTATATTGTGTAAATATTGTACCGAGAGATTTGAATATTGTTACGTCCCTAATCGTGAGCCTCCCCACCATATCATGAACTTTTCCAAGATATGGCAATAAATATTGTACCGTGAGGTTCATTTGTGACGATATCGTATCGTGAGACTTGGATATCGTTACACCCCTATAGCTCACACATTACATTATATTGTAATGACAAAGAGAAAATATAAGCAGTAATTATAAATTCTAAATAAGTTGCAAAAATAGCAAGAGTAAAATAAGAAAATAAGGCATAATTATATAAATGTATATGTACAAGTAATAATAAAATTAAATATTAGTCTCTCCACAATATCGCAGTAAATATTGTACCGTGAGATGCATATCGTGATAATATTGTACCGAGAAATTTGGATATTGTTACATCCCTAGAAATAAGTAATAAAAATATCTCCGCAATATACATGAGTTCACAAGGTAAACAGTGCAAAGTGATGGGATGATGTGATAAAAACAAATGAAATGCTCAGTTTTGCTAGAGAGACGTAGTCTAGTATTTACTGTTGTAATGATATTACATTTTTGTGTTAAAATTATTGTAAGGAGAAACATCACAATTTTACAATTATTCACAGTTGTTGACACCATTACCAAACAACAGTGAAATCCATAATATTTATTTCATTATTGTTGCCCAATACATTATCATTGCTCAACTATGCGACCAGCTGTATTATTGTTATATTATGATTTAGCCGAATAATCTTGACATCTTAAACTGACTAGATTATGATGAATGTTCGTGTTTTACGATCTAGCTAGTCTTTTATCTTTTGTATGACTCAATTCAAAATCCACATGCCTTTATGGTATTTCACATTTCCTTTTGTCTCCCAGTTTCCAGAATGTGGCTTCTTCGGAATGTATGACAAGATCCTGCTCTTCCGCCACGACTTGCACGATGACAACATCCTGCAGCGTCTCACCTCAGCGGAGGACATCCACGAAGGGGACCTCATTGAAGTGGTTCTCTCAGGTGGGTGCTTGGCCAGCGTGCAGTATATGCCCAGTGTAATAAATCTTGTAACACATGCAGTATGTTGTAAATCTATAGCTGGACCACACATAATTAGCCAGATTGGTGCCACCTAGTGCCTCCGCTCAATTTCATTTCTATCCAACTACTAGGTCAGGAATCGGAATACACTAGACGGTTTGCAAGAACCCAGGAAGTGCGAGTTTGGACACCATACATTCTGTGTTGGCAATGATTCCCGAGATCGAGGATTTAAAGCTGGAACAAAGAGAATGTTTGGTGAATTTTATCAAGGGGAAAGATGTTATTGCCCTTCTTCCTATGGGATTTGGGAAAAGCTTACTATACAAGTTAGCCCCGTTAGCGACACATTACATACAGTATGTCACAACCAAACAGCAGCAGTTGGTTAAATAAAAAAGTACCTACCTACCGTTCAGAGAACAAATTCTAATCAGGTCAGGCGGTTTCCACAAAGTGAAACTGGCTGATGAATCAAGCTAACACATAATGCCCTAACAGCTGTTTTTTTTTTTATCTATTGGTCCAGGCCACCCTTCGGATTTACCTGTTGTAACACAGTTAACAGATCACTTTTGCACCATAAATGATCACCCCACAAACCTGCAGTTGTTGTGAAATGCTCTGACCCAGTTCTCTTGCCATCACAATATGTTCTTCTACAAAATCACTAAAATTAAATCTGTATGTGTCCTTGGCCTATTTTTTCTTGTTGTATAAACCCACCTCTCAAGTGCTACACTTCACTTGTGATGTTGGCATGGCGCTGTGCAATTAATCACATTGTATACCAGATTGAGATTCAGTCGTTTCTAATTGTCAGTGATCAGCTTGGGTTTTTCAAGTGGTTCACAGCCAGTTCTCTGCCAGTAAAATCATGTGGTTTGGAGCAGAGTTCAGACTTTGATTACTTTGTGTTAAATGGCAATGATTAATAGTTTGTATTGTTTATGTTTAGGAAATGAATATTGAAAGCCATTTTATTTGTTTTAATATGAATCCACATTTGAGATGGATCAGTATGAGGAACAAAGTCATTCATTTCTTCATATTCACTGTTAGTTGCTCGACAGGTGCTTTTTGTCATTTCTTCATCATTTCCGTCCTTAAATGGTGCTTTGTGTGTGGCACTGAGGGACCCAACAGGCTTAGACTCTCTGTTCCACTGTAATCTGTCTCCACTGGGAGGCACCTCACACCACCTGCACTGCAGATCTGCCCCTCTCTCCAGGGCTGAGTGCATTGTTTGTGGGATTTAGATAGGGTTGACTGTATAGTTAGCAGGATCTAAGGCTACACCAGGCATCAGTACTAAGGAATGTTGATTGAAGACTGAAGAACTTCCTCTTTTTTGTTTCTGTTTGTCTTCTGCTTTTGTGTCGGCGATCTTGCTCTCCATTTCCCTGCTGCTTTCTCTTTGTCTAATCTGTACAATCTCTCTAAATCCATGGTGTTAGCTTCGTTTTGCTTTACCATTGGGAAAAACATTCATTGCAGAAATATCCAGGAAGAAAGCGTCACTAAATTTACATGGTTGATGTATCCTGACAATCCATCTTAGATTTTCACAGAACATACATTAATCACAGTCAAACTGAAAATGCAATTTGAGTTGGTGCAATTCTCAAATTATAAAAGCTACAATTATTTAGATTTAGTTAATATCCTGTCTTTCCTATCAAAAAGTTTGCTGTGCCTGTAGCTTAGACTTCTACAAACAGAAGTACAAAAGATTATTATCAGGCCAAACTTCAGTCTTCTCTCAAATGTTAATGTTGTTTCCCATGTGCTCTGAGCAGAATCCTACTTTAAAACTTCAAAAACACTGATCGCAAATGTACTCACAATTGCAGTTTCTCCAAAATTGTGCAGCGTTAACACACATTGGAATTTCTTGAGCACAACAATCTACATTCCCAATTGTCTTCCGGCCTAAATTTGTCTGTTGTGTATTGCACTTAACCAACCTGTCGTGGCTGTGGTCGAGAGTCTCAGCTCATGTCTGTGGGATGGAGAAAGTGGCTTTTTCTTGGCTGCAGACTAAAAGCAGCGGCCTGTAGCTTCCTGCTGTAGGTGATGTGATTGGAGCCGTGCAGAGTAAACAGGCTGTGATGTGCACACAAGGTCAGGGCACAGTGGACCATGAGGTTTGAGGTTTGGCCTGACACTGTGTCCTGTATCTGTTTTACACCCACATTCTCAACACTACTGTCTGTTTTCATATATAGATATAGAATATTTAAGAATAAAGTGTATTATTGATTAAAATCAGGAATGTTTTATTTTATTTTTCCATTTTGATTTAATAATGCCCCTGTCTTTCAAAAAGTGTCCTCACAGTATTACAGTGAATATTGCACTGTGAAGTTTCCATGATAGTGCGACCTAAGATTTATTCACTTTATTTTATATCTACCTGTTAATTGTCATGAAAGATAGCAAATCTTGTCTGTTTCTAGTTCTACCAAATTATAATATTATAAAATTGCTATTACAGATAGTGTATTTGGCATGCAAGAAGTGCTGATTTTGTGTTTGGCCGTACTTGATGCTAATTAGCGTGACAAGCGTTACATAACACAGTGACTGCTAAGAAGCACTGTTTTGTTTTGCAGATGTTTGTGAAATGACTCTTTAATGCTCTTTTTATGTGTTTTTGGATGGAAGCTATGCCCCCCTCTGACATGTGATCTGTAGTAGCTTTCTTCTCTTTCCAAACAAACTCCAAATTTCACCAGCTGTGTTCTGGACGGGGGACTATATTGGATCAAACATCTTAGGAGATCCTTGAAATGATTACACACACACAAATCTCTNTATTTTTCCATTTTGATTTAATAATGCCCCTGTCTTTCAAAAAGTGTCCTCACAGTATTACAGTGAATATTGCACTGTGAAGTTTCCATGATAGTGCGAGACCTAAGATTTATTCACTTTATTTTATATCTACCTGTTAATTGTCATGAAAGATAGCAAATCTTGTCTGTTTCTAGTTCTACCAAATTATAATATTATAAAATTGCTATTACAGATAGTGTATTTGGCATGCAAGAAGTGCTGATTTTGTGTTTGGCCGTACTTGATGCTAATTAGCGTGACAAGCGTTACATAACACAGTGACTGCTAAGAAGCACTGTTTTGTTTTGCAGATGTTTGTGAAATGACTCTTTAATGCTCTTTTTATGTGTTTTTGGATGGAAGCTATGCCCCCCTCTGACATGTGATCTGTAGTAGCTTTCTTCTCTTTCCAAACAAACTCCAAATTTCACCAGCTGTGTTCTGGACGGGGGACTATATTGGATCAAACATCTTAGGAGATCCTTGAAATGATTACACACACACAAATCTCTTCATAATAAACTGTAAATTGCCTCTTGTTGAAAGGACACATTTATGTGATTGTGTCTCAGCTCTTAATGATTTACTCTTTGTTACATTGTTGTTGGTTGCACTAAACACATTAGAGCCTTAGGCTATTGTTTGCACAAAACATCAGGTGACGGCAGTTTTCCGCCAAGTTTGCTATTTTTTGTCACCTGATTCACCGGAACATGTCAGTCATTGGGTTTACTATTAAGATAATATGACCACACATTTACTAGATGAGTTTTGTGAGCTATTAATTGCATTTACAGTGTCATTATTTGTGATTTGATTTGTGGGCACACAGTCACTCACACATTCCCACAGTGGTGTTACCAACAAATGCTTTGTTGCTTGTGTGAATGTAAAAATTAACTTGTGTTAATCTTTACCTTGAAATCTGAATGTGTGGAGTAATATTTTAAGATTACTAAAGAAATCTGTGGCATCTAATGGGATATTTTGCCGTGTTATTAAATTTTAGATGATTCCCAAATGTATCAACATTTTATGTTTAAAATACTACATGTGCCACAGGTGCCAAAAGGTTCAAATATATGTGTCAAAATGGTGCCAAATTCCGTCCGTGCAGATGTGATGCCCTCTGCTGCTGCTTTCCAGTAATAGCACGGTGGATGATAAAGTATACACACATTCCACATTTGCAAAGTCTCTGCTAGTCTCTTCATTTAATTTTACACTGAACTTTATTTTCCATGTATACTTTACTTTACATTATTATTTTTAACTTAATAGTAATAATGATAATAATTATAGTACATTGTTTTTATATAGTGCTTTTAATGGTAACTCAAAGACACTTAAAAGACAATAGTTTAACATAAAACAAGGATAGGACAAACAAAAATAAGTAGTGGGGAAGCACTAATCTGTGGGGTTATGGGCTATGAGGAAAAAGTGAGAGTAAAAATTATTAATTATTAATATCACTTTAGTTACTTATTTCTTCTTTTCCACTGTTTTTAGCTCAAGCTACAGTTGAAGACTTCCAGATTCGCCCTCATGCGCTGTACGTGCACTCGTACAAAGCTCCCACCTTCTGTGACTACTGTGGGGAGATGCTGTGGGGCCTGGTCCGGCAGGGCCTCAAGTGTGAAGGTTTGTTCTTAAAAACATCTGAACACCTCTGTCCCCACTGTGCTAAGGGTATTTGAATGAATATTATTATTTTTTACATGATACATACCATAGAAAATGTCTTTTTATATACATTAATAGTGTTAGCTGATCTTTTACATAGTGAAATACAATCTGATGCTGTGTAACCTAATAGTTATTATTTAGTTAATCTCTTAGAGGTGATAAATTCACCAGCTCATTAGAGTCCTCTTGTGGTTAATTTGAGGCATTACACATCCTCACTGTCTCAATATCTCATATCAAAGCACGAGTTTGAGTATTAAACCAATGTATTATAATCTATTCTTTTTCCTACATATTTTTCCAGGATGTGGGCTAAACTACCACAAGCGTTGTGCCTTTAAGATCCCGAACAACTGTACTGGATTCAAAAAAAGAAGGTTGTCTAATGTCTCACTGCCCGGACCATCGCTGTCAGCCCCACGGCCCCCTCCAATTGAGAGTGCTGTGGTTGTCCTGGATGAGGTACATTTTTACTTTTTAAAATAACTTTAGATGATGTCATCTTTTCTTTTTATAATGAGTTAGTGTCCATATATGGTAGAAAGTTCATTTAAGAAACATACAAATCTAAATTGGTGAATTTAAAGTAAAAATCATAGCTTGTTATATGCAACATTTTGAGAACGTTTTCCCATTTGAAAGATGTAATATTTAGTTTTGGTTTTTTGGGACAATTTTTATGAGTTTACTGTAGAGTAACCAAATGATGTCACTGTCCTCTTTTAAAGTAACTCGAAAAGTATGCTAGACATTTGTTTGTCTTTTGTTTTGTCTTAATAATACACTGATAATATAAAAACCTTTTCCCTCTAGTCTACACCCATCAGATGTATTTCATTATTATACTGATTTGTCTAGTCTGTTTACCTAACTGACCACAAATGTTTTTCTTCATTTTCTTCAGATTTTCTTCTTTCCACTTGTGTTGATTCACATGTCTGATTTATTCTTCATCTTTAGCAGCAGAGGTCCCATCAGGAAGCGGGTAAACGGATTCTCTCATGGAGTGGACGGCCCATCTGGATGGAGAAGATGGTTCTGGGTCGGGTTAAAGTCCCACACACTTTTGCTATTCACACGTACACCCGCCCCACTATCTGCCAGTACTGTAAACGCCTGCTCAAGGGCCTTTTTCGACAGGGAATGCAATGTAAAGGTAAATATTATATTTACTGTTTATGAGGTGCTCCAGGTGTCATTCAAAAACTCTAAATGTGTATATTGTATTTACTAGACTGTCGATTCAACTGCCATAAGAGATGTGCTTCAAAGGTACCGAGAGACTGTCTGGGGGAGGTGGATTTCAATGGAGGTATGGAAATGTCTGTCACTGATGACATTATCATAGCACTGTTGAACATCTGAAACTTTCTTGTGTATGTAGAGCCTGCGAGCCCTGGTCCAGATTCAGACACTACCATGGACACAATGGAGGTAGACAGTGGCGACATTGATGGCAGTCGAAGTCTGGACGACCCAGAGGAGCCATCCACACCAGACGAGAGGATGTTTGACATGGATTCACCCTTTTTAGACAGAGAGAAGGACGAGGAGCCCATAAAAACTATAAGGTGCCACATGTATGACAAACTGTGACTTACTACTAACTCAACACTAAAGTATTTCTTTCACATTTGGACTCAAAAGTCAGAGGCAGCTTTTTAAACAGATATTCTGCACTTGTCAAAAATGCTTTAAGAATTTACATTTCAAACTACAATTTAAAAAAAGAAGTTACAGCACCGTCTAATTCAGTTATTGTGTTTGTGTGTTTAGTCCTTCCACTAGTAGCAACATCCCCCTGATGCGGGTGGTCCAGTCCATCAAACACACTAAAAGGCGGAGCTCCACTGTGGTGAAGGAGGGCTGGATGGTTCACTATACCAGCAGGGACAACCTGGTAAGCATGAAAGCACCACATATGGGAGACACAACAGTGGCTAAGAAAAGTTGTTAAATCCCACTCTCGGTTCCATTGTACAAGACTCTGCATGTGCCTTGACTTGTCTGAAACATGTGCATGAGCGGTTACGGGAGTAGCTTACCGCCACTGAATATAAAGTGTTTTGTATAACCCACAAAAAATCATTTGAGCCACAACACAGACACACAGAAAGTGAATACAGAAATAAACTTTAACATATGGAGTAACCAGTTTCCTCTTTTAACAGCGGAAGCGACATTACTGGAGACTGGACAGCAAGAGTCTGACCCTCTTCCAGAATGACACTGGCGCCAAGTTCTATAAAGTAAGCATCATGTAATCACATATCCTGAGCCTATACATATAATTCAAGTAGAAGCTCATGAGTAGTAAGAGAGGTTATGGGCGACGGTTCACAATGCAAATGTACAAGCCACTGAAGTCAGTATGTTCTGCTCAAATTTCCCTGTGATTTTTTCTCTTGTGCAGCAGTCTCTGTAAGAAGGGAAAGTCTGCTGTTACTTTGATACCATGCATCCCTACTTTATAGCATTTCACAGAAACTGAAAACATTACTTTACATTACGTAGAACAAAAAATACATTTGAATATGTATATCCATATATTTTTTTATATGTTCTTTTATAATGAATGCTTTTGGTAATGATTGACCTATGTTGTCCCTGTCCTGTCACAGTATCAGAGTTGGGATGGTCCAGTGTAATCGTGTCCTTACTGATTATAGAATGAGCTAACAGTCTCAGTAGTGGCACACTGGGATGACAGGTGGGATGTGTTGCTGGAGAAAAAGACTTGGACATGTGGTTGTGTGTGCTGTAAATGGACTACATTGGACTTGTGTCGCTCTGTGTTTCTCCTCACTGTGGGTGTATAGTGATTCAGATCCAGCATGGCTATTCCATGTATATAACAGCAACTTTTGCAACTTCTTTGTAAGAAACAGTTAACTACTCACACTCTGTGAGAGAAAACATCTCAATGTTTCCTCAAGTGTTTTTTGGGTATTGGCATGGGTCAGTAGCACCTTACAATGGGTGGGTTCGTGAGTATATAATATTTTCAGTTTAGTGAAAAAGGAAGAATGTTTCTAATTTAAGTGTTTTAACCACAGACACAAGCCCCCTGCATCTGGGACTTCTGTTTGGGCTTCCTTTTATTTAAGTGAAGGTCTGAAGGCACTTCTCATCAGTGTGTGGCTACTGTCCCCTCTTCCCTTTTTCTTTATTCTTGCTATCTGATTAGCATGGTCTAGTGGTGGCTTGCTTGCCAGGCATGGCAACCATTTTCACCATTTGGAACCCATAAAGCCTTTTTGAAGATGAGACTCCTGTACTTGTGGCTTTCTCTGAAGAAGCTTTATGGGGTGAGGGGCTTCTCTGTGTCAGCCGTGCCGTACTCCAGCATGCACCCCCATACCCCCCCACACTGTGGTGAAACAGTAGATACAGTCCCTTTGGTCTTGTGTGGCTGTGGTAGCGCCAGAGGCTCGTGCTCATAGGGGGCCCTGTTGGCCTGCCTTGTAATCAGGGAAGTGGGGCACTCGTGCCGCCGCAGCGCCCTCTCACGTGACCCAGGTGCACTAACCACAAGCACTTCATGCGATACTCCGTGGTCAGCCACATGGAGGCTACAGCGTGTGCCTCCTTCAACCCCCATTGGCTGAAACTTTTTCTTCATTTTTGCCCCTCCCACTTTGCTTTGATTTGACAGCGAGTTTGGAAAGGAAGGGGGAGTTTTAAAGTGTAAGCCAAGTGTCCTCTCTGTTGGTGCTGCTATGGGTAGGTTTAGGTTAGCACTTGGACTATAAACATCAGCGTGATAACGACTCCCAGGAAGAGAACTTCACCAGAGTGTGAGTGGATATATTTGTTGACTTGCACTAAGGACCTATTTGTTATATTTAAGTGCTTAAAGTAAGTGTATTAGATTTTCATACAGGTCCTCATGCTCTTATTGCAGTTTTGTTAAAATTTCTTTGTTGTCATTTGTGTATACTGTATATTTAATTCAATGTATTTCCACACAGGAAATTCCTCTGTCTGAGATCCTCCAGGTTGAACCACCAAGGGACTACCGGAACCTGGCACAGGGCAGTAACGCACACTGCTTTGAGATCATCACGGCCACCATGGTGTACTATGTGGGGGAGAATAATGGCAGTCACTACCACAGCCCTGCTCTGGCCGCCTCAGGAGTGGGTCTGGATGTGGCTCAGGGCTGGGAAAAAGCCATCAGACAGGCCCTCATGCCAGTGACCCCTCAGCCCAGTGTGGCCTGTGGAACTGGAGCGGGCAAAGATCACAGTAAGTCAGACTGCATGACATACTATAATAATATAGGATATAAAGGGTATATATTTATTTGGGGAGCATTACAAATTTGAACCACTGAATATACACAGAAAATCAGGAATATATATCCTGTATATATCCTGTATAATGAATGACAGTGCCTTTTGTCAAGCCTTGCTTCCCATGTGGTTGTGGTTATGTGTATTGTGCATGATATCCACAAGCAACATTTGAATGAAGGAAAATGAAATTCCATTATCAAAGCTCAGTATTCATTAATCATGTGTTCACCATCAAGAGCAAAAACATTCAGCTTAATTACTGCAGTAGAAACTGGGTGTACTGTACTTATTGATGTTAATCAAGTAATTAATATGGTATTCAAATCAAAGTCTTCTTACATATTGGAAAATGTTTTGAACAGTTTGTTGTGATGTCTTGTTTCTCTCTGCCTTTTATCTCTGGGTTTTAATGACTGGGGAAACATGCACAACAAGGGTCTGTGGCTGTATAAATTTCCAATAATAAAAGGGATCACATAGTTACTCTGTTTTGTCACACATATCTCACCAGATCAATTTTATATGCAATTCATGAGTAATAAAATGCTTCATTGTGCTGGCCTGTGACATATTGCCTCCAGCTGCAGAAACATTCAAAACAAAAGTGCAGTGAAAAGTTGACTTGCTGCTTAATTCTGTGGTATCGGTCAAACTGAAGTTGTTGAATGTGGAAACATTTTGTGTTTCTTCTGCAGAAGAGCTGTCCATCAGCATATCTGTGTCTAACTGCCAGATCCAGGAGAATGTGGTGAGAATTTTTTTTAGACTCTTGCACAATTTCCCAGCACTGCCTGCCTGCACCCTTTACAGTAGTTAGCTGCTACTGTGGTTGTGAGTGTTGTTAGCAGCTCCTTTGGTAGCTACTGTTGCCCACAATTTATTCTTTCTTCTTCATTCAGGTTTTCATTCTTTCTTTCTTAGCTTAAAACAGAAGTTATACATTATTTATATTTCATGAATTAGTATTTACTTGCATTGATTAAATGTGCATAAATTGTAAATATAAACTATCTTCTATGTGCATTTTGTTTCCAGGATATTGCTTCAATCTATCAAATATTTTCTGATGAAGTGCTGGGATCTGGACAGTTTGGCATTGTTTATGGAGGTAGAGAGCCCATGCATTATTTTCTTTCTGACATTTATTTATTTTATTTTTTTTGTAATCTCTTTACTAAGTTTCAGATTCATGATTATAAACATTTTTTAAAATATATTTTAAAGGCAAACATCGCAAGACCGGCAGGGATGTGGCAATCAAGGTCATTGACAAGATGAGATTTCCCACTAAACAGGAGAGTCAGCTTAGAAATGAGGTGGCCATTTTACAGGTACTGCCATGCTTCTAAATGTAACAGGCAAAAACCTCTTAGTGCGGCTTAAATAGTAATCATTTATTTTTTCTTAGAACCTGCATCATCCGGGAATCGTCAACTTGGAGTGTATGTTTGAGACACCAGAGCGAGTCTTTGTTGTCATGGAGAAGTTGCATGGCGATATGCTGGAGATGATCCTGTCCAGTGAGAAGAGCAAACTACCTGAACGCATCACCAAATTCCTTGTCACACAGGTCAGAGGTGTAACCATTGCTCCTTTTATTTTTACTTGAAAATCAATAAGCAAGTGGTTCTCAAACTTTTCACACCAAGTACCACCTAAGATAATATTTTTGATGGTAGTTTTGGAGGCCTGAAAGATCTAAACGTGGGACTAAATATGTTCTATAATAAATGAGACTATACCAGGTCTTTAGAGAACATTTTAAGTAATGGTTAACCTGAAGGAGCACAAAGCGTTAATAGGTTTGTCTCTAAATAAAACACATATCCGCCCATATCACCAGAGGCAGCCCATGTCCCACAGTTTGAGAATCACTGCTTAATACTGCTGGAAACTGCTTAAAGTTTCAACCTACTTGGCATTTCTCTACTCTCTGATTTACTTGACTGTAATTGTTTTATTACTCTGCTTACTTTCTGCGTATTCCTAGCACACGCTTTTAGCCTGTGTTGGCATACTGCACATAGCGTTTTTGCCTTAGCTCCGGGGCCTGTTTATTCTTGTGGTTACATTATTGAGGAGAATTGTTTACAGGGACGGTCTGCCTGGCATCGCAACCTCCTCCCTGGCGGTGAATTACAGCCTGCAATGCACTGGTGGCTTTGCGGTCTGATTGGGAGGGCATCAGGGCCTTTGCACAGTCCCAGACAGCAGCGGGGCCATTAAGGACAGCCCCATTAGTTGGTGCAGGCTTAGTATTGATGTGGCCTGGAGGTCCTCAGTCAAAGTCAGGGTCAGGACGGAGAGCCAGCCGCACTGAGGTTTGGTACAGGGCCATAGGCAGACGTGCGTGCTGAGCTAACTCCACAGACTTCTTTAATATAAATGAGATGATGAGAGGAGAGCATATGGATGTATGTGGAAATAAGATGGAAGCATTTAGAGGTATTCGTATGCTTAGTGATTTGTCTGACAATTATACTGGCAATACACTGTTAATGGCTGAACTAGTGGATAATTTATCTCAAAAGGGGAACATTTTTGTTGATTATTATCTATTGGGCATTTGAATATAGTTCAGCATGATGATGCATTACTGATGTGAAAAATACCAATAATGACTGTCTCCAGACCTAAAGGGACAGTAAAGTTGTACCTTATTTCTCACAATACCTGTTTTTGTTCTAATATCTATAGATCCTTGTGGCCTTGAGGCATCTGCACTTCAAAAACATAGTTCACTGTGACCTAAAGCCTGAAAACGTACTACTAGCCTCTGCTGAGCCCTTTCCTCAGGTAAACACTGCAGTGAGTCACTTGTAAACCCAGACAGTTCAAATGTATGTTGATCACTGTCTTTTAACCCCTCTAGGTAAAGTTGTGTGATTTTGGATTTGCCCGTATAATTGGAGAGAAGTCCTTCCGGCGGTCGGTAGTGGGCACGCCTGCGTACCTGGCTCCAGAGGTCCTGCGTAGTAAAGGCTATAACCGCTCCTTGGACATGTGGTCAGTGGGGGTCATTGTGTATGTGAGCCTGAGTGGGACATTTCCTTTCAATGAGGACGAGGACATTAATGACCAGATACAGAACGCTGCATTTATGTACCCCCCTGCTCCCTGGAAGGACATCTCCACAGAGGGTAAAAGTTTATTTCACTACGTAATGTGTGGGTAATGCGGGTGCACTGGTAGCTTTGCGTCAGACTGAAACTCTTCTCCCACTTGTTGCCAATCTCATTTTAACACATCACAGATCATCACTGTGGTCAATGGAAATCCCTTTTTATTTTTGCTTCCTCATTATAAAAAGTTGAATGAATGGTATCAAAAATCAACAATGGTAAAAAAATATACTGCTAGCATGTAAATAATTATGTGCTCCCCATGTTAGTTAGTGTTTTCATTTGAATTCAAATGCCTTTATAATTATTTAAATACAATGTAATGATCTGATGTAATGAAGTGATTCATAATTATACCAAATGTATTAATTAATAACATACAGGTGACATATGTGTATATTACAGTTACAATTGTATGGGTTGATTTATTATGAATTCAATAGAAAAGCATGTTTTTATATTTGTTATTACACAAAATGATTGAACACAAAAAACAAACAGTAAGAAAAACCTTCTTTGTTGTTACATTTTGTACATCTAATCAAATGTTTGGACATTTTACAGCTATTGATTTGATCAATAATCTCCTACAAGTCAAGATGAGAAAGAGATATAGCGTTGACAAATGTCTGAGCCATCCCTGGTTACAAGTGAGTAGCATATTTCATTTTATATCACATAATACTGTATATACTGTATATATGACTTGGGGTAAACATGGAGCTGTTGATGCCATCCTCAGGACTACCAAACATGGTTGGACCTGCGTGAGTTTGAGACGCGGCGAGGGGAGCGTTACATCACCCATGAGAGCGATGATGCGCGCTGGGAGGAGTACGCTGATGAGCACTGTCTTGTTTACCCCAAACACTTCATCATGGCTCCTAACCTAGATGACATGGATGAGGACCCCTAGTGGAGAAGGACACTTTGTGCACGTGGGATATTGGTGCAAAGACTTTTTAACCTGACACTTTGGGAGCTGTGGATTTCCCCTTCAGAACCCCCAGAACAGTTTGTTGTGGAAACAGTTTTAAAATAAGGTGGGGAATTGCCCTGTAGAGACTTAAATAACATAAGAAATATCAGGAAATGTGGGGGAAGTGTACCACAAAAAGTGACTGTTGGCAAAAAACTCTTGACTTCTCCTTTTATGAACTTAAGTCATTCCATGTTTGTGTTATGTTTTTGTTGATTGTGAAGTCTGAATCTTCCATGCTTAGCTATACAATCAGCAATACAAAATGCAAAACGTAAATTAATGTCTGTTTTTTAATGAAGGATGGGAGACCAGAGAGCTTACCCAAATAAGGAGTTAAGGGCAACTGTCACAAGGGATTCACGGTGTCCATTCATTCTTTGTCTTAAAACTGGAACAGGCTAATTTTCAGTTCACTCATTGTGTTAGGCATTTGCACTATGTTATTTACAAATGAACATGGCAAATGGACAGAAAACACTATACGCTGCTACAGTTCTTGGACACCCAGGTTGGTCCTGAGCACAGAAGGGGGTACAGCGCACAGCCACACGAGCAGGTACATGTCTCTACTCCAAGGAGAATGAGCTGCTAGTGGCACAATGGTCTTCTCATTGTTTCCTTAAAATGTGTTCAATTTAATGTATTCTTAATTTTGTTATTTTTGTTGTTTAAATTAACATCGTGAGTATTTTACTTGTTTCAAAACCAAACTCTGAAAAGTTTCTTAATGCAATAATGGAGCCACCCCAAGCCAGCAACGTGCAACATGGACTCTTTTTGAGCAGCACACTCCTGTCTACAGACCTATTTTCATGTGATCTATTTCTTGAATATGTGTTACAATGCTTTGAACGTGATTCCTTTGTCAAAGACTCTATCCGTTGGATGTTACATTTGTATATGAAGTTTTTATCGTCCATTTTGTATGAATTGAAACTATGACAGTTTGGCACAGAAGTTGGGAGTACATTCCATTTTCCTATTCCTTCCTATCTATGGTCTATGTTGCCACTGGATTGGCAGGTGTCAGTGTTTTGTATATTTCAGATACCTATGGAATAAAACATCTTTAACTTTAATGTGTTCCAAACTGATCTCAACACACAGGGCGACTGAAAATGTCTCTTAACAGATTGCTTCTTGATTTTATTTTTCCATTTAAGTTTCTTGGAAACAAAGAAAAAAAATATATTGTACACTGACACAGCATGTCATATATAGTCCCCTTTCTCCTTTTCCAAATATAAACAAAATCACTGTACATGTATTACAAAGATTATCAAGCTTTAACAAAAAAAGCTTGGTAATAAAAAGAGTAATCATAACAAAACAAAATAAAACTAGAAAAGCACTCAGAGAGCGCAGACCTCCGCCAAGGACTACCCCTATTTTTTATATAAATTGCGATAAAATCAGTCTTCTGGATCAGATCCGGATCAGCCTTTGGAATATGAAAGAGGATCCCATTGTCCATCCCTGAGTCAAATTTCATGGGGTTTGGTCAATAATTAACCGAGATATTGAGAAACAAAATTTTTGGCCCCATTTACTACAATGTTAACTAAAATTTCAAAGTGATCCAGAATCCAGGATTTCTTCCGGATCACCCCCAAAATGAAATCAGTTCTTCCTTTTCACATTTCCAACAAATCCTGAAAATTTCATCAAAATCGGTCCATAACTTTTTGAGTTATGTTGCTAACAGACAAACAAACAAACAAATAAACAAACAAATAAACAAACAAAAAAACAAACGCCGGCAAAAATATAACCTCCTTGGCGGAGGTAAAAATTCTTAAGGCAAGGTACTTTATCACTAAGCCATGTTCTTGTAATACACTTCTTTCCAGCAGCTAGTAATACATTATAAATATATTTTTCTTATGTTCTATAAGATGGGCAAGCCTTATCCCAAAGTACACTGTCTCAAAATTGTACAGTCAAGTAACAGAGAACTTTTTCAATACTGCTCCTAACCTGAGACCAGAAATGTGAAAGTTCTGGGCATTCCCAATATGTGGTAATGACCGTCCCACACTTTCTCCAACAAGAGGTATCCCTGCCCATAGCAACAACCTGTGAAGGCACCCTAAAACCCTAAAAAAGCGTATTACATTCTTCCGGACAAATTCTCTCCAACTGATGGATGCTATGCATTTCACATTATTCTTCAAACAGTCTTCCCACTCTTCCAATCACAAACCCTCCTTCTTTTTCCTGTTTTTTCCTTTATATATTTAACATCATTGACCCCACTGCTCTGTATTTCAGTATAAAGTTTAGAAATAACTTTTGATCTTGGTTCATCTCTATATCACCCCTACTGCCAAGGTGTAACAAAAGAAATGTAGCTGCTTCTTTTCAGCCTCTTTTTCCAAATCTCTGTCTTAAATTTTAGCAAACCAATGCCTAATGATGCCTAGCGATTTGGAGGTTGTTGCATCATCCAGCGGAGTGTGTGTGTAGTGGTTTCAGATGTCAATCTCCATTCTCCACAGCTGCCTGACAGACCGCACTGAGCAGTTTACCACAAGAGAGTAATGACATACTTAAAGAGGAGAGCGTGGCTATGGAAGACTACATGCTAACACTGCCTATGCTTACATGTACTGCACAAATATGATCATTATCTGATTTCTGAGTTATATTATTGAAATTATGTGAGTAATCTGATTTCTCTCAGCTTGTTCACACGTGTTGGTTTTTGACAAGGAAAATAATGGAAAAAAGCTAACTAATGTGACACAAACAAAAATAAAAGAAAAAATGTTAGGGGTTGAAAGAGTTATTTTAGCATTTCAAATACATCTTACTCCTAAAATCCATTAATCAACAAACATATGTCAGTTTTTGGTAATCAGATTTCTCATGGGCATGTAAACACACAGCAAAAATCAGATCTAAAAATTGGGTTGTCTTATTTTTATAATTTTCTTACTTCTACTGGCCATGCATGTACACAATGACCACTTTGAAAACTAAATTAATAGACTTAAAATGATTATGGTGCATCACTTTTGCTATTTTGAAGTAGCGTAATGAAGTTTGTGTTATTGCTCAATGCTTCTTTGCTAAATTTCAAGGTCTGTGTTTGCAAGGTCTGAAAACCACATTAGACACACGCCGGAGAAGGCACAGACAGGCTGGTCAAATGTGTGTAATGAAAGGGTAATCCCCAAACCACTATTCATGATGAGTCATTAGGGTGAGCAGCAAAACGTCTGTGAAGAATGTTGCAAAATGTGTGGGCTCCTGTAGCATACTCAGAGCAATGTCTCCCCCCACTGGCTGACTGTATGTGCAATCTGACTGACATTCTCACAAGAGTGAAGACCTCATATTGTACAAAAAGAGGGACTAGCTAATAAATGCAATAACACAATATGATTTTGCACTTTTATTAGTCCATAATGCATAGAGAGATTGGGATAGACATTGGTGCCAACATATTAAAACTCAGAAAGCCAGTGCACACAACATTAATTGTGAGAAAAAAATACACCAAATGATCATGTTTTCTTTGTAAATTTTACTTTTTATACAATTCATACATGCATTCATCAATTAAAAAGTGGGACTCTGAGCAGGACAACACAATATCATGTTGACTTTTAAATAATTTTAGGTTGAAAGTTAAAAAGTGGAATAGAACTACAAACTGTATGCCAAATAATAGGTCTGTATAACACTCAACAGTTATATTTGTATGCACATTATAATGTATTGTAGGCACTTTATAATGTATTTTGAAAGCCAATATAAATGTGTACATACATACTGGGGGCCACATTATGGCTCTTGACTGTGATGGGGGCAGGGGTCGGGTCGGCCGTATAACAGAATTGTATGACCCTGACGAGGAAGATTATATTCTTTGAAAACTGCCAAGCTTTCTTTACATATCAGACAACTGCTCCTTACACTGAACAAAAAAACAATCAGTCGTCCACTGTTCTTTGAAAACTCAGCACTCTCTGTCAAGTTTTTGTAATTTAATATGAGTCATTTTACTATCCTTAACTACACTGCCTATCACTGTTTGATCTCGAGCTTGTCAGGTGACAAAAATTTGGCGGCAAATGTAAATACCTAATATAATTATTTTAATATAAATACTTCATATAAATAGCATTTTTTTACTGAAAAAATCTACAAAATACAAGATGCAGACATGTTATTATTTGCCAAAAAGTAAAATAGGCCATGAACTTTTGAGGATTGCTTCATAGGGCCAGTTCAAGCGGTGGGGGTTGGGGGTCCAGTCAAAGGGACGTGGAGGGCTGGAGTCAGCCCACGGGCCTTAGAGAAAAAGACCCTATTTCATGATGGTGCAGTAGCTGTTCCAGAGTAAAACATGGCATCACTACATGCACTTGATTCTTGAGACTTCCATAAAAAGTGAATTTACTTTATGGTAGATGTAATATGATGATTACTGAGTAATTAGTATGACTTCAACTATTTTGTCTTTTTACTACTAGAGCTGTCTGTCTACTGTAAACAAACCTATGCTTTAACCAAATTCTAAACTGTTTATATTGATAATGATGATCCATAATATATCAGCGAGGTAATTAATCTGGACACATATAGTTCTCAACCTATTATAATCTCTATAGATGAAGGCTTTCGTTTAAGCCTGGCTTTTCTCTCCAAAACAGGCAGTCCTCAGTGTGTCCAGAAGGTGTCACTCTATGAATAAAATCAACTATGGACTTTATTTGAAAGCTTATAAAGGTGCACTGTTATGGACATTTCATCTTTCACACTCAATTTGATCGTTTAGCTGTTTAATTATTATCCAAATACATTCTAAATATTAAGTAAATATATCTATTAACCAATATAATAAAAAATCACAGGGCGAACTGATGGAACTGAGGCTGCCAATCTGACCACTAGCAATTACTCGCACACTGCTTTCATACTAGGTAAGGTGGATGAAGTGTCTTGCCTAAGGACACAATGACAGAACTTGGTCCAAGCTGGAATTGATCCTTTGACCTTCAGCTTAGGGGACCACAGATTTATGTGTGAAATAACAGTAGGAAACAATGATATGTGTCTGTATGCTTGATCCTGTTGTTTGTGTATTTGTCAAGCTTCCTTGCTTTGGTCTCTCCTCAGCAGGCCTCTTGTCACCTCACGGGGAGGTCTGTCTGTCCTCCTTAGCTTCCTCACCCATATCCTTGTCTCCTTCCCTTCATTCCTTCATTCCTCCACTCGTCCTCTCTTCTCTATACGCTCCTCCACGCTGGGGTATCCATGGACTGCAGACCAAACAAGCAAACAAACGGAACAACAAAAACCCCATCACCCCAGACAAGCTCTGGTCCGGGAGGAGAGAGAGTGATCTTGTTTGTCTTTGGGTTCCATTTCACAGTGTCCCCGGCAAAAAGCGGCTATACCCACATGTGTGTTTGAACTTACAGAGAGGTGGGGCAGAGGGGGTGATGGTACGGGGGATCAAGGTGGTCTTCTGTCTCAGTGCTGACACATCATCTTCGGGCCCAATACACAGCTGTCTGCAGCACGTAGCCTTTACCTAAGCTGGCCCTGTAGTCGTCGCTGGTATGGCATTCTGCTGCTGGCCTTTTGGTTGGTCAACATTGTCTGAGGAAGGATGATAAATAAAAGTGTATTAGGAAGTTCAATAATATCAAGCTATTACAATTCAATAAACTATATTAAGACGGTTACATTCAGAGTCATTCAAATTGAGCATACAACTGTATTACTGTGTCCTTGGAAAAGGGCAAGAGCGTATCTCTAATCTCAATGCAATCTCAGTGTGCCGTTTGCTCCACTGTAGACCCATGTGACTCTGCAGCAGCCTTTATAGCAGAAGACGTGTGTGTGTATTGGAGACCTTAAATGGAGTGTCACATCACACATAACTGCTACATGAGGCTATTGTTTGCACATTAATGTGGGTGAAACAGGTCAACAGATGCAATTCTTGAAATCACACGTTCCTCCTTTTGCATTTTTTTTAAATATACAAACTCAGAACAGGTTGGGGAGCCAGAGAACCTCTTTCACAAATTAACACAACATTGAAGTAGTTTAATACGAAGTC